CACCCCTAATACTCCCTCCCACCCACCTCCTCCCACCCCCAAACCCACCCCCAGACTCGGCCAGCTGTCACAGCAGCGTGCAGGGCGAGTCCGACTCGGAGCCCGAGGGCTTCATCTCTCACATGACCAACAAGCTGGGCAGCATTTTCTCCAGCGACAGCAGCGACGCCGACGTCAGCGAGACTGACGACAACGACGACCAGGTGGACCTGGCACTGGACAAGCCCGTCTTCCTCACCTCGAAGGGCCCCGTGCACATGTCTGCCGGTTCGAATCTCTTCTTCCTTCCTTCTTCCTTCTTGTCCTCTTTTCTTTTCTTCTCGTCCTCATTTTATTTCTTTCCTTTCTTTCTGTTGTGGTTTTTTGTTGATGGGTGTGTCAATACGTCATTGGTTGTATGACCTGGGAGTAAAAAGATAGCCCCCTCCCCCCCACCCTCCCTCGTAATACTGTGACCTTTTTACCTACTTGTATTTCAACAGCAGCCAAAATGTCCCATCTTTTTATGGTACAAGGGCCGGTCACTTTTTACCTCCATGTCATACAAAGAATGATACTGGTGTCACTTTTATGGTATTCCAAAGGGTAGCTGATACATTTCAGGATAACATGACAAAACAGACTATATCTAAGTTGACAGAAATCAAGGAGAAAAATATACGCCGTTTTATATTTGCCAATATTAAATTGTATTGAAAAAAATCACTTCCATGAAAGTTGTCTTTGCCTTTTCAGGATTATCATATGATAAAGCTCATGTCTCTTCCTAAATGATATAGATTGTAAAACGCATAGAACCTGCTGTTGAGCAGAGATATGCGCTATACAAATGCTATTCATTATTATTAGATTTCTAAGCTTTCAACAACAAAAATAATGTAAAAGGACAGTTCTCACGTGTAAGAGTTTCACAGTCCAAAAGTAGAATGTTTTGTCATGATAATGAGCAACTGTCATGTATCATTATTTTCCTTCATTCAGTATCCCGTTTCACACCTTCGTCGTCGTTTTGTTCATCATTATTTCTTAGTGTTGTGACGGAGATGGATTATGTTCTTTATCGTTCCCGGTGACACTTTTTTATCTGTAGTGTTGTTTTTAAAGTGACTCATGGTATTTTTCTTATTAGATATCTAAGTCTACCAGGTGGTTGATTCTACTTCTATTTGCTTCATCTTATCATTTCTGTCAGATTTCATCATCCCAGCAATGGCCGTTGTCGTGTTGATATGCCACACCTCTCACCTCGTGATGTTGTAATAAATGTTGATCCTCTCTGCTTATGTATCGCATCTACCGGAGCCTCCAACAGAAATGAATTTCTAAAGGCTGGATCTAGAAGTGATCCTGAGAGAATGCAATTGAAATTGTCCAAGACAGTCGCCCTGTCTAAGACAGCCCAGCCACTTTTCTCCTCATCATTACATATGGTCGCTTTTAAGCACAAGAGGGATATTCCGAAAAATGCTGTTTTGAGAAAATGAAAGATAAAGTTTTGGCCCCTTTTTCAGTTTCTTTAAAAGACAAGGAATGCAGAAGAGTTAACGCTCAGATGCTACTGGATCGCTAACAACAATAACAACATAAAAGACAATGAGATTTTTCTTTATAGTAAATAACTATACCCACCAATAAAACCAAACTTCTCCTATAGGTAGGGCTATGCCCACTTTTGGTGAAGGTCAATATTTCTGGAAACCCCTGAAATCTAGGTTAGCCCTCTTGTCCTTAACAGGGACCATATAATGGCCAGCCGTCCTGGACAATTTTGACGATACATGAGTTGTTTGATTTTGTATGAGTTTTGTTGTTTGGTGGGTGTTGTGGTGATTCCTTCGTCTGTGATGTGGAGATCCTTGCAGCTGGAAGTTTGTTTTATTTCTTCCCCCAACAAGTGACCATGCGGATGTTTGTTTTGTTACTTTCAGTCGTGACCATGCGGATGTTTGTTTTGTTACTTTCAGTCGTGACCATGTAGATGTTTGTTTTGTTACTTTCAGTCATGACCATGCGGATGTTTGTTTGTTACTTTCAGTCGTGACTACGTGGATGTTTGTTTTGTTACTTTCAATCGTGACCATGTGGATGTTTGTTTTGTTACTTTCAGTCATGACCATGTGGATGTTTGTTTTGTTACTTTCAGTCGTGACCATGTGGATGTTTGTTTTGTTACTTTCAGTCGGGACCATGTGGATGTTTGTTTTGTTACTTTCAGTGCATGCCCCCCTCATGTGACTATGTGGATGTTTGTTTTGTTACTTTCAGTCAATGTTCCACATGTGACCATGTAGATGTTTGTTTTGTTACTTTCAGTCGTGACTATGTGGATGTTTGTTTTGTTACTTTCAGTGTCTGTCCACCTCATGTGACCATGTGGATGTTTGTTTTGTTACTTTCAGTCGTGACCATGTAGATGTTTGTTTTGTTACTTTCAGTGTATGTCCCTCACGTGACCATCATCACAGGGGGTAAGATAACAAACCCCCAGCTCCCGCCCGCACCTCCGCCAGCACCGCAGAGTTTTTTATTTTGCTTTTTTTTCCCGGCAGCATTTGGAACTTGTGCCTTCGATCAGTGTTCAGTCTTTTGCTGCCAAGACTTTTAGCCGTTTGATCTGTCTGCACGGCTTCTGGGATTTTTGGGGTGGTTTCACCCACAGTTTTCTGTTTTTTAAAGTTTCATTTCACAGCTCACTTTTTTCTTTATACCAGAACCATCTGCACTTTGATAGTGATGACAAAATCAAAATTAAGTTTATCTAACAAATCCAAAAATTCGCAACTAGAAACTGTTTATCAGTGTATATTAGAACATGTTATGATTGTTTAATACCCCTCTTCTGTCTCCAGTCCAAGTACCTTAGAGTAAATATTTTAAAAATTATTATTTTATAACCTCTTTGCTCCAGTCCTATCAGCTCTATTTTGTTGCGGGTGGTTGGAAGGTGCTGTAATGCGGTTCGCTTCTGTGACTTCTTTTGTCGGTGTTGCTTTTATCCTTACCATGTAGGTTTCTTACTACTGCTAGGACATAGGTCTTACATGTTGTAGCATTTTGGAACTGTAGAATAAATAAGTTTCATGTTTAGACTTTCTGGCTTGCAAGCCAAAGACTTGATTTCAATTTCTAGGGGAAGTTGATTTTTACGTTATTGGTGGTGGTGGGTTTTGATAGGGGCTTTCTGTTTTGCTTTTTGTTATTTGGAGGGTTGAAGTGGGTGGGGAATGCAACAGAGATGTTGTTGTATTCTCTTAACCTGGGTTGGCCCTCTCAGACAAAAGTCAAAGTTTGAAGCACCCGTCCTTCTACTGCATGATCTAAATCATGTCACTGAGGACATAAGACTTTAAAAATAGCACCATCTTTTGTAACAAACCTTTCAAAATTTCAGTGGTGCAACTGATTGGAGGGCGCCACTGGTAGGTGCTTCTTCTGTTCTTTCCCACTCTTTTTCTGTCTGTCTGTCTGTCTGTCTGTCTGTCTGTCTGTCTGTCTGTCTGTCTGTCTGTCTGTCTGTCTGTCTGTCTGTCTTATTTTTTTCGCTCAGCATTAACTCTGGCTCTGGGCCAGGTCAACAGTATTGAGATTACATTTGAACTCTTTATTCGGTTTTACCAATTTAAGAAAAAAATGTGTCTATGCTTTGTAAATTCTTTGCTACTGATTGGACATCTGGGGGTTTTTTTTGATTGCTTTGATTCAAAGCTGTTGTCTGAGCTAGTTTTAAACTGTTTTTTCCCAGAATCGAAATGATGTCACTGGGTCCATCTTTCTTTTTGCACTATTCTTTCTAACTAAGAAAGTGAATTGATATTTAGACTGTTGGACTTCATCAGTCTTTCTTGTAACACATTTCTTTTTAGTCAAGAAAGTAAATTTATAATTAGACAACATCACTGCTTCCTTTTTTAAAATTATTTTTTCCACCAATTCTTGTTAGGCTTATCAATAAGATGAACCATTATTTTAGATGACAGAGCTGCATCCTTCTTTCTTTTCGCTCTTTCAGTCGTTCAAAGAGTGAATTGTTATTCCGATAGCAGGAATTTGATATTTCATTTTTCTATGCATTACAATTACAGAGTATATGTATATTTTTTGTTCTTTTCTATATATGTAGTTTTGTTTCGATCGATGGCAGTTTTGGGGCTCGGTTTTTGAGTCACATTTATTTTAGAACCTTGCCACGCCGTTGCATGCTGCAGAAAACATTTTTAGGTCTATGTCATTTGCCACTTGTTTGTTTTCACCAGGTACATGTTTTTGTAAAATTGTTACTCGCACCTGTTAAAACATTTTGCTTTTGTTGGAAATGGTCAGAGGGGTTCATATTTATATTTTGATGCTTTTTTTCAGAATTTACTCTGGCCTTTGTCTGGCTCAATAGACACACATGTCAATTTGCAATATTTTCAATTAGCCACATCATTTCTATTCTTGTTTCAGTGTTGTTACATGTTTGGCACTGTGAGTTTTTTTTGTGTTTTTTTAATGCAGTTATTTTGTATCAACTATATGTATTTGGACCGACTCCGAGTCTTATATGTTGTATGCCTGTGATCGATTTCAGTTATGTTATTATAGACTGTCATGAATTGAGAATTATCCTCAACACGTGTGGAGCTGATCTCTATGTCGTGATTTGCCAACTGTATTTTTATTTTCTGTCTCTGTCTGCATGCTTCAGTATAGCAGAGCTGGTTGAAGGCTTTGGTTTAATGTGTTCAGTCAAAAAAAAAGATTTTTTTTTTTTGCTTTTCCAGTTTCACTATTATCGTTTCATATGCTGAAAATCTGCATCTTTGGTCTTCTACAGCGAAAACGGCTGGGTTAAATGAATTGAGCACCTTATATGATTCTCTTTAAATTTAGTCTTAAATTTCTTTTAGACTGGAAGTGATTGACTTCAATTTACAAATTTTGTCATTAATTTTAAAATAAGATGTGTTTATACTCTGTTTCATATTAAGAATTTTTGCTTTACTCAGTGCAATAATTTGGTATGAGTGGCTAGAAGATGCCACAGGTAGATGCTTCTTATCTATCCATCTTTCATCTTCAGTCTGATTTTATTTTTTTCTGTTTTCGATAGATGAAATATTATTGTAGCACTGTGCTTCTCTTTATCTCAGACTATGCGAACTTTAACATTTTAAATCTTGTGAATGTATTATTCCCCTAGGATAGCTACTGAAAGGTGCCTCATGTTTTCCTTAGCAGCTTGTGACATTATGACAGATTGCAAAATACGTACAAAGTTAAAAGTGAAATATTAGTTAAGAATTTGTGATGGATGGTTGGCAAGTGCTCCTTTTTGCTTGTTAAACATCTCTATCACCATTATCTCTCCTCCTTCTTCTCTTTGTGTATGTTACCCTCTTGGAACACTTCTAATCTTCGGCTGTTTTTTGACGTTATTGCGTTGCAAGTGCCGTAAAACTCTCACTAAAACTCAAAATGAAAAGAAGAATTTGTGACATATAATAGTCTGGTGCTCTTGGTTCTAGTTGAGCGGGGTTTTTTTTGGGGGGGGTTGTTTTGTTGGTGTTTTTGTTTGTTTGTTGTTGTTGTTGTTGTTGTTTTGCGTTGTTGTTGTTGTTGTTGTTGTTGTTGTTGTTGTTGTTGGGGGGAGGGGGTTTAGTTAATCATTAACTAATGCTCAATGCATATTCTGTTGTGTGTTTTTCTTTCATTAATGCGTGTTCTGCCCCTCTTGTAGGTTCAGCCATGGGATTCGATGAGGTGGATGCCGGACCTGGTATGTCTTCGATGATGGAGGAGGAGGAGGAGAAATGTCTGTATGTCATGATGGACTCCCTGGACAGACTGAAACTCAACGTCACCCCTCAGGCTATCGCTGTGCTTAAAGATGTTGTAGAGGTGTGGTTGGTGTGGGTGTGGGTAGTTTGTCTAGGTGTGTGTGTTTGTATGTGTGGGTGTGTGTCGGTGTGGGTGTTTGTATGTGTGTGTGTTTGTATGTGTGTGTGTGTATTTGTATGTGTATGTGTGTGTGTTTGTATGTATGTGTGTGTGTTTGTGTGTGTGTGTTTGTGTGTGTGTGTGTGTGTGTGTGTGTGTGTTTGTGTGTGTGTGTGTGTGTGTGTGTGTGTGTGTGTGTGTGTGTGTGGTGGCGTGTGTTTGTGTGTGTGGTGGCGTATGTTTGTGTGTGTGTGTGTGCTTGTGAGTATGTGTGTTTGGATGTGGGTTGGTGTGTGTGTGTGTGTATGTGTGTATGTGTGTGTGTGTGTGTGTTTGTGTGTGTGTGTATTAGTGTATGTGAAGGAGGAGGAGAGATGTCTGATTGTCATGATGGACTCCCTGGACAGACTGAATAAGCTCAACGTCACTCCTCAGGCCATCGCCGTGCTTAAAGACTGTGTGTGTGTATTAGTGTGTCTAAATGTGTGTATACGTGAACTGGGAGGGGGGAAAGGTGGTGATGTTTCGAGTATCAGTGAAAATCGATTGATTAACCACTTTCTGCCCACACCAAGTGTAGGTCTATCTTGAGAGGGGTTTTGTGAGTGTGACTTAATTGTAGCATCTCATTTTTCAATCAATCATTACCTGTCGTGATATGGCTGGTCTATCTGCCTTGTGTGCAGAAACTTCCTTGTGAGGATGGTATTTGAGTATCTCTGTCTTTCTGCGAGGATACTGTATCCCTCTCGGTATTAGCTGGCCAAATTAAAATTTAAAACAACAGCCTTCAAAGAGGTCTAAATTTCGCTGATTAAAGTTTAAAGTGTTCACAGCATTTTGTTTCGTTCTAGATATCTTGATTGCACGTAAATTTCTGTTTCATTTTCAGCGATGGTTTTAGAGCCCCAATAGTTGGTCCTACTTCTTTTTTTTCCTTCTGTTGTTTCTGTCTGTCTGTCTTATTCAGTCTTGCCCTGAATGACCATTATTGTATTGATGAGTGTGCGTTTCTTTACTGAATTATTCCTTCTTCCCCCCCCCCCAACTGTTCCATCCGCCCCCACCCTCCCGGCCCTCAACCCCCCCCCCCCACTCTCCCTTCCCCTTCCCCCTCCTCCTCCTCCCTCCCATCCCTCCACTCTCTGGTTCTCCAGGCACTGACCAATCCCAGCCAATCAGAGCTGCAGTCCGTGCGGTCATGTCCCAGATTCAAAGTGGACAACAAGGTCAGTGGTTTGGGAAGGGTGTTAGCGGGAATTGGTCAACGGTCAAGACAGAAACATCATCCACCCTCTTTTGAGGTTGAAGTGCAAACACATGTGCATTCATGAATTCATGCATTAACATGTATAAATAAACTTTATTCACCCTGTGTTGAGGTTCAAATCTAAACACACATGCATTCTTGAATTCGTGCATTAACATGTCTAAATACAGATACACATATATACTCGTACATGCACTCACTTGCATTCAGACTAGGAAGACTGTGGTCCCCCTACCCACAAAGTTTTAAGAAATTTATCTAGACTTGTGGATCATACATGTACTAATGTAGACTTTAAACTGTTTTTATGGGAAAAGTCAAATTACTACACTTGCTAAATCTAGAAATACTACAAGTAATTTATTTGAACATCCTTTTTATTTCGTTTCTATCCTGAATATTGAATTTTTTCTCAGAGCTGCCTTCCTCTATCCATGTTTCACCATTCCCTGTTCTCTGTCATTTCAGTTTGAGAGCAAATTATATCACAAGAGATATATGAATACAAATTTTACTTTTCCATCTCTGTTTCTTTCTTCTTATTTGAAAAACCTTCTGTTCCCACAGCTTGGCTTGCATACATACATCACAGTCCATCCAAAGATAAAGGTAAGTATAGTAAATACTTTTGATGACAGTGCACAAGCTCATGATGTGATGCTACTGACTGAAGTGTCTTTAGGCCGATCCTGGGGCCCTTTTTTTTTTACTAAATTTTAAAATGAATAAAACGTCTCTAAATTGGTCATTAAATCAGAACAAGTGAACCTATTTTGATAGTTCTTCGTCTAATAAATGAAATCCCAAGAAAAGAAACCTATTTTTAGCAATTGCCAAAAAATAATTTGATGTCAAAGTCGTCATAAAGGACTCTCCAGCATAGTGGTTCTGACCGCGAGCTACTGGGAGCAGCTTGCTGGAGTTGAAGTGTTAAGAAAATTAGTCAACAGCCTAGAGGGAAATGTCATTCGTCGTCAGTTGAGTTTGAAATTCAAAAGCACATGCTTTGAGATGATAGTGTTTGTGCTGTATTGGTCTTTGACTTCATTCTTGTGTTGACGGCTCATGTAGTGAATTAGGCTATGTAAGACAGATATCTTGGTTTGTTAATATCAATACAAAGCCTATTCATCCCAATTATTAATCATCCTTTACAGCTTTACAAATACCCTTGTTTGTGAATATCCATACTAAGCCTCCTCAGAGGGATTATTCATTATCTTTTACAAATACCCTTGTTTGTGAATATCCACACAAAGCCTTGTTAGAGGAGTTATTTTTCGTCGTCTCTAATAATGCTCCTGGCGCTCATATTACCTTATGCTGTTGCGAGCGCCGTAAAAACCTTACTAAGTGGGTGGTTGGCGGGTGCTCTGGTCTGGTTTGCTCCTTCTTTCCTATCAAACATCTATCGTCCTGATCTCTCCTTCTTCTTTTTTATGTTTCTTACTCTCTTGTAATGCCTCTAATCTTCGGCACTTGTATGGCCTTGTTGTGTTGCAAGTGCAGTAAAACTCTTACTAAAAAAAATTTTAAAATAATATCCACTCAAAGCCTTCTTAGAGGAATTATTATTCATCATCTCTAACAATGCTCCTGGCGCTCATATGACCTTATGCAGTTGCGAGCGCCATAAAACCCTACTAAAACATAAAACACAAAGCGTTCTTAGGGGAATTATTATTTGTCATCTCTAACGATGCTCCATTGTGTGGCCAGGTTCGCAAAGACCAGATCCATGATGCCACAGTGTACCACGCGGGAGAAGACGACAACATCATCCACGCCGCCGACTACGAGAACGACATCGATGTGATTGTGGAGGACGAGGATGGCAAGTGTGATAAAGAGTGAGTTTTTTTTTGGTTTTTTTTTTTGGGGGGGGGGTCCTCTTCATTTTGAGCCCCAAGTGAGCAGGGAGGGGGTGTAAATATTCTGATTTCCTACCTGTGGAACCAGTGTATGAGATGTATTGGTTAAAGCATTATTTCGTTGGTAAGGCAAGGCTAAATATTTAATGTCGCTTTAGTTGTTTGTTTTTTTCCGATGCAAAATTAATTAGTGTATTAATTTTTATGACTTTTTTAAAGACAGTTTTGTAACTTCGTGGAGGGTCCATTTTAAAATGCCTGGCATGTAGCGTTGTTCTGTGGGTGTTTGAAGGGCACCCCTAGTGGGTACGATTTTTGCTGTTTCCCTTTTTTGTTTTTCTCTCTCTGTGTCGCTCTTTCCCAGCACTTAACAACCATTATTGTGTTGATATATTCTTACAGTACTCATACTTACATAAACTATGTTGTTCCTCAGCTTTCCCGACTCTTCTCGGTCAGTGTCCACTCTCCTGGCCAAAGCGGGTCACACACTGATCAGTGCCGGAGCGTTTGTGTTTGAGGATGATGACGACTACCTGTCCGGCACACAGCTGGACTATTACAGGTGTAAAGTGCAGGTAAGTGACCGTGACTAACTGGTAGTAGCCCCATTTATAACTTGATAATCATCACTCTCTGATTCTGTGGTGTAGCAGTTATGCTCTTCATCATTGCACATGGAGAGACATGAGTTTGATTCCTGAATGGAGAGGATCTTTATTGAGTATCTCCGTCTATTTTCTGGGATGTTGTATTCCTTTCAGCCTGAGTTAGCCTTGACAGGCAGGGTCAAAGCTGCTGGCCTCTTAAATGAGCTAAATTTGTGTCAATAAGGACATAAAATGTTTACATATGATGATGTGTCTCCACAGGTGGAAGGCTTTGAGCAGACGACATCCATACTGCACAAACGAGCTTGCAGACGCCTCCTTCCTCTCACCCCCATCAAGGTAAGAGAACTTTTTCCCAAGATTATTTATTACTTTAAATTAATTTTTTTTTTACATTTTACATCATCTGAGGACGATTTTTTTAATTGATTAAAATCAAGAAAAATTCCCATTCATTTGGTCACTTGATTTTGAGAAACATATATGGACAATCAACATGTTCTGTTTAGTATATAAAAATGAATTAACATCTTAGGAAAATGGTTCGCTCAAAATCCAGAAATAGTTTCTTAAAAAATGCTTTTAATGTCAGACCAGATAAAGAGATGCGATAGAAAACTGCTTGTCCATTTCTAGTTCAAAAGACAGAATTAAGTTTGAATTTTTTTTTTTTTCATCTGATACTAACTACAAATTTTTTCGCTTTCTAACCTGCATTTCTCATCTTTTGGCTTCTTAGTCTGATGAAATGGAACTGGAGGTTTGTTTTTTCAGTCGTTGTTTACAGAACTTTGTGTTGTTTCTCTTTATGTTGTCTTCCATCTTTGAGTTGTCTCTCTTGTGTTGTGGGAAAGGTCAAGCATGGCCTGCATGCTGATTTTTCTTATGTGCCACTTTTCTTTTTGTTAATTTATCTCTGTGCAAAAATATATTTTTATTTGATCATAGTTTTTTGTCGGTGAAGACTGTGTGTTGTAAATGTTTTCATATATAAAAAATCTGCAACCAGTGGACTTGTTTACTGCCTGTCTGTTTCAGATGCTTGTCGGTGTGGCTAAAAACTTACGTTGAATCACCGGGGGAACGTGGATAAAAAAACACAAATAATGGATTACAGCAAGATAATTTAGAAATATTTGATGCCTTTCAAAACAGCTAATTTGTTGGCTAAGCTAGTGGTAATGTTTCTCATTACCAAGTTTAATCAATCTCCATTAAAAGAATGCTCTGTGTATGGATTTGTGGTCATACTTGTGGCATATGTTTGGCTTCTTTTTGGTAAAAATTAACCCTTCCAGCCCCAGCCATTTCTGTGCCGTCCTTAACCCCAGCCCCAGCCAATACAGCAGTATTTTAGAAAAAAAAGGCATACATTCTAAAACAGTGATGTAGCATCTTTCTAATAAAGATTTAGATATTAACATATTTCAAGGTTTAAAGGTAAATGAACAAATATTATGAAAATTAAAGTTTAGTTAGGTTCGCTAATTTTAAAAAATGTGCAACTTCGGTACCCCCCAAACTGAGAATATACGCTCTTGGGACAGTGGGAGGTACAAGCGCTGCTGAAAATATACATGCAGGGGGCTGGAAGGGTTTAGGTATGTGTTATGGACCAACTCGTTTGAAAGAAGTGTCAGTAAATGTTCTGTCCAGGTTGGCTGTAATAGGTAGAGTTGATGCAGCCTGACTCCTAAATGGATGGTCTAAATTTTGTATATTTTTGCATCTTTTTCTGCCGGAAGAATCGACATATAGGTCACTTAGTACAAAATTTACTGTTCTGTATACAGGTGGTTGCAGGACACGCCTAACAAGTCTTCCTTTCTTTTCTTCTGTTGTATAATAATAATAATAATAATAAATAGCATTTGTATAGCGCATATCCCCGCTCAACAGCAGGCTCTATGCGCTTTACACTATATTATTACCCCAGCAGACCATAGAACACTCCGAAACATTCTCAGCTTCCCGGGAAGCATACAGTGCAAGCAGCTGATTAAGCGCTCAAACACTAACAAACTGACAAGATCTTTCGCTGTCTATAGCCGGGTACCCATTCTCACCTGGGTGAAGTGAGGAAAATTTGTGAAAAGTGCCTTTCCCAAGGACACAACGTCGGGTCCCTGGCGGGATTCGAACCCTCGACCTTACGGTTGCGAGTCCGAGAGCCTAACCACTAGGCCACCGACGCCACTATCCCACTATCTGACTGTGCATCTTACTTCTTCGCGGCACAAAATAGCTGTTTTAGTATCTGTTTTCTTCTCTCTTCTCTTCACTTGAAAAAACAAATGTGGGTGGTTGGCAGGTGCTCTGGTGTGGTTTGCTTCTTCTTTCCTATCAAATATCTATTGTCCTTATCTCCCCTCCTTCTTTTTTATATGTGTTACTCTCTTGTAACAACTCTAATCTTCTGGCGCTCATATGACCTAATGCAGTTGCGAGTGCCGTAAAACCTCTATAAAACAAACAATTACTTCTTCCCCAGCACAAAATAGCTGTTTTAGTACCTGTGTTCTTCTCTCTTCTCTTCACTTGACAAAACAAACAAGCAAATTAGAAAAAAGAGAAAAGGAAGTTGGAAACAGCTGGGAGTCCAGCCTAAAATCTAAATGTAAACGTGGATGTGCCATCATTTTTATATGGTAGTTTTGTTTGTGTTATGTCTTTACTTCCCTCTCGAGTGCCTCAGTTTTCTGATTGGAGGAGCTTTGTGCAATGTTTTTGTTTTGCTTTCAGTTTTCAATGAAGTATTTTTTGTACTCTCTGCATGAGTGTGAGATCAGATTTTTGTAATTCAATATTAGAATGATGAGTCCATGTATTTATTATGACTTCGTTTTGATGTTGTTCTTTCTTTCTTGCATGTTTGTCACGTTCTGTATGTATATTAAACACAAGTGATGGCAGTTCAAAAGAAAATTTACAGTTTTCTAAGTTTTAAAAAAAGTTTAGGGAGTAGGTAAGTGAGGTTTGATTTTAATAAATTGCAACACAAATCCGTCATATTATAAGTGCAGAAGATTAGAGCTGTTACGAGAGCAAAGAGTAAAATACAGAGAACTGACGGAGGGAAGATAAGGACAACTGATGTTTGATAGGGAAAAAGTAGCAAATCACTCCAGAGCATCGCCAACCTCCTATTGAGGCCATGCCTCAAGTTTAAAATGTTTTAGTGACTATTGATTATTAATCATTTCAGCGTAGACCTATAAAATGATGCCTTTGCATTGGAGTTTCACAGTTTTATATTATGTTAGGCTACTACTATAATATTATTTGACAACTCTAGACATAGGCCCACTAAAGGAACCATTTTCTTTGGGGGGGGGGGGGGGGGTTCAGTCAGCTGGTGGGTGTTTGACGGTTTGTTTCTTCTTTTCTATCAAACATCTATTGTCCTTCTCTCCCCTTCTCCCCTTCTTCTTTTTTATGTTTGTTACTCTCTTGTAACACCTCAAATCTTCTGGCTCTCATTTGACCTTATGCTGTTGCGAGCGCCGTGAAACGTCTACAAAAACTAAAACTTTCTATCAGCTGCAACTATTACCCGATTTATTGGTGGGGAGGGGGGGTAGGGAGAGTCCTGCTTTTTACGTGTGACTAGAGGGGACTACTAGTTTGTCCAGCTTTACTACTGTTCCGCTGTTGTTTTTGTCTGTCTGTGCGTCTTGCTTTTTCCACTTAGATGACCAATGTGCTTCTGTGTAACTATATCACTATATCAAATTCAGCTTCTGATCAGGACTACATGTGCATATTAACTTTATTCTCTTTTGATTTTCTTCTTTGAATGCTTTCATGTCACATAAAGTATATTTTATGGATCCTGCAGTAGAAGCAATTAGAGAAATTAGCAATTTTAAAGATAATATTTTATTTTGTATACATGCAATATGCTTACAATCATGCTAATTTTCAAGTGCCAAAGAATTTCAGTTTCTCGATTTGCTTCTCTTTATGAGTGTTTTAGAAATGGATAAAAGATGGTTCATACATTGTTTGTATTCATCAATGCAAGCATCAAAGCCATCTTTGCACTATTGTTTGTGGTGTACTGGTAAGGCTATTTGCCATCGCATGCAGAAGACATGAGTTCATTTCCTGAAAGGAGTTCTCAGTTTTTAATCCAGTCTTTCCATCTGAATGTTGAGATATTGTATACCTCTCAGCTTCATTTGGTCCCTGACAGCCTGACAGGCATGGTCAAAGCACCCCCACCCCCCGTCCTAACTGCTGGTCTAAATTGTGTGGATTGGGGGGAGGGGGGGGAATATTTACAATTACAATTACGATCTTTTCTTTGGGAGACCCTTATATCATGCTTATTGATGATGATGTGCTTTGTCCTCATATTATTTACAACCACTATTATCATCTTTGCTTTAACCCTATCCGAACGTCGTGTTTTACTATCATATCCATACGACGTGGGGAACTCTGTGCCCTCACTTTCCAGAGAAGAATTTTACTCCTTAATCCAATCTGTACGCTTTGCATAGCAGTCTGTCAAAATGATTTTTTGAGAAATACTGAAAGTTTCAAAGAGATCTTCGCACTAGAAGTATTCTAAAATGTGAAGAATACAACCCCTGGGGTACAAAATGACCCCAGGCGTACGGATAGGGTTAAGATACCTTTATATTATGCTTATTGTTGATGATGAGACCTAAACTGAGTCGATAGTGCCGTAAAACACCTACTCATACAAACAAACAAATTGATGAGGATGGTGTCTTCAGTCCTCAGATTATTTACAACCACGATAGTCACCTTTGTTTTGTTTTGAGAGACTATTATAATAATATGTGTCGCAACGTGATGGAATCAGGCACTCGTCAATTTTTGTGCATGTGGAGTTAGGGGGATCATCTTAAAGCTTGTTCATTTATCTGCTTTTGATGAAAAAAATACCCATCTATCTTGAGCAGAAGTGAAGATATTTTTGTGATTGAAACAGGTAAGTTCACTTGGTTTCAGTGGTAAAAATAGCGAGAAAATGACCGCCAAAGTTTGATAAATTCCATAGATAAAGAGTCCTTGGAAACTAAAAAATTACATAGTTTGAGCTTTTAATCAAAGTTTTTCAATATAATTCACTTGGAAATGTGTTTTTATTTGGAGATAGAAGGGTTGAACAAAAAAACTAAAATTTATTTAAAATTGCGAAACTGGAGGGAAAATGCCTGTTTCTCCAATTTTGTTATTTTGACGAGCGCCTGATTTCACCACGATGCCTCACATATGCTTGATGATGAATATGATGTCGTATGTCCTCAGTATATTTACAACCATTATTGTTATCTTTGCCTTGAGAGACTGTTGTATTATGCTTATTGATGCTGATGAGACTAGTGTCGATAGTGCTGTGAAACACCTACTCAAACAAACAAACAAATTGATGCTGATGATTTGGTCTGTCTTCAGAACGGTGTGAAGTACTGCGCTGTGATGGATGTGGATATGTGGCATGGGAGGAAGTCGGTGCAGTTTTACTCTCCCCTCAAGGTATGGGATTATATTCTACCATTATTCTATTGTACACTACCAAACATTTTGCCAAATCCTTTTTTGATATGGTTTGATACAAAATTGAAGGTGGCCAGTTTTCCTTTCTTGGAGGAGCAAAAGCTACCATTTTTACACAAATTTGTGAAGCATGCCGACAAAATGAGTTACTTCTCGCAAACCCTGGATGGAGATGTTAGCCAAAAATTGGCAGAGGTCAATTTTATAAATTTTTAACTGACTGATTTTCTTTACGTTTGACATGTCATTTATCATTTCATACTAATGCATCGTATAAGCTCAACCTATAAATTTGCAGGTAGTTGATGGGTGCCCTGGTGTGGTTTACCCCTTCTTTCTTATCAAACATCTATCATCGTTATCTCTCCTCTTTTTTCTTTGTTTGTAACACTGTTTGCACTTATGTGACCTTATTATGTTGCAAGTGCCTTAAAACTCTAACTAAAACTAAATACAGTCGAACCTGACCTGACAGCCACCTCTATAAGACGGTCACCTGTACAAACGGCCACTTTCCATTTCCCCCCTTGCGTTTTTTCTATATAATTTAACTGTGTCAGACGGGCACCTGTCCAACGCGGCCACCATATTTTAGCACACAACCCCTATCGCACTGAGCAAAAACACCTGTCTTAGACGGCCACCTTAGAGACTCCATTACGTTTTGTCATAAATTGTGCATTGGCCCCTGGCGTCGTGGGCGAGCCGTCATAATCCAATCACTTCTCGTTGTTGTTAGGTAGTCCCTCCAAACGATCATGTTGCATAGGCCCCTCCCACTGTTGACCAATTGGTACCAATTTTCAGCTGCTGGTGAGGTAAGCGTGTGATCCCTCATAACCCATAAGCCCCGCCCAGAACTCATACACAAATCGTATGTGAGACGAGTGGTCACTGTTTACCCAGTCTGTAACAAAGTAACAAAGGACGTCAACACGAACTTGCGACAGAAGCGTCGCTCGTTCTCCGAGTGGTGGCGACCCATGTGTTTGTTTTAACATGGCACTCGGTCTTTCTCGTCTGATACATTTCGTTTTATTGTCACCCTTGTGCAAAATCAGCAACAAAGTAAAAATAACAAACAAAATACAAACCAGCAACAACAAAAACAACAACAATGCAGCTACTTTCGATTTGGACTTCAGATGGGAATGGTTTGTTTTCATCTTGATCAGTCCTGCCTAAGACGGCCACCTGTCTTATACGGCCACTTTTCTCCTTGACAATGGGTGGCCGTCATACACAGGTTTGACTGTACCTATATATTTCGCTGGCTGGGTGCAAGAACCCTACAAGTGCCAATTTGCAAATTGACACTTGTAGGGTTCTTGCACCCAGCCAGCGATTTGAGATTTTTGTACCTATTGGGCTAAAATCCAAGAAGTAACTCATTTTGTCAGCGCATTAAAAGTCAAACCATGTTGGATATTCTAGGTCATGATCGCGTACATTTGACGACATTTTTGTTTCTTCAAGACGTTCTCTCTCTTACTTTACTCAAAGAAAGAATCTGACGTCCAATTCATGTCCCCAGGTGGAGAACCAACTGACCTTGGCGGTGGACGTCTACTGCCGCACCGAGACCCTGAAGAAGTTCAAGGCCACCCATGACCTGGCCGGGGAGGACAAGTTCTCCCACCTGGCGACTGTAGAGCCCGGACAGTCGTACAACCTGCCTCTGTTTGTCGCCTACCACTGCCCGCTGTTCATCAAGCCCTCCGACATACAGTCAGTGGTTTTTGTGTTTTTTAATACTCTCAAACTTCTTTGTGTCCTTTACAGGCAAGTTTAACACAAAAAAGGTTGTGTGGGGGGGGGTGTCAATTTTTGACATCATGCTCTTTTTTTTGGATGGGCTTTTTGGGGGGGGTTGGGGGTTTTTTTTGTTTGATTGATTTGAAAAGTGTTTCTTCCTTTTTATCCCTCTGAAGTTTCTGCTTGTCTTTAAAACTTTCCCCAACACTAAATGACCATTGTTGTGTTGATATGCAGTGAAACAAGAAGTTGCTTTAAAGAACACCATACATGACACTGAAGTAAACATCTTTGAAACATAAACTCAAAAGTTGAATAAGCAAATATGACCAATGCCTATGTTCTAGTCATTGTTGTCTTTGTTGTTGTTGTTGTTGTTGTTGTTGTTGTTGTTGTTGTTGTTGTGCTTTTAAAAAACTTAATTTGTCTATGCTGTTGTTATTCATATTGATGCTGGTGTAGCTGTTGTTGGTGTTGCTATTGTTCTTCTTGTTATTAATTTTTTCAAACTCCTTACACAAATTCTCTGTGTGTCCCACCAGCTACGAGCTGACGTACAGCGGCCTGTGGTGGCAGGAGATGCTGCAGGGCAAGGACCGCGTCAAGACCTTCATGTGCATGTCCTCGCAGGAGGAGAAAAAGTCATTCCACTTCAAGGTCAGTCGCCTTTCACTTACATGACATTGTGCATTTTTTCGTTTATTAGTTGGTTACTGTCATCATCATTGCCTTTCTCACCCTGGATCAGGATATAGGCCACGGACAAACACTCTCCATCTTTCCCTATCCTGGGCTAGTCGCTTGATGTCACTCCACATCTTCCCACTTTTCTGTACATCCATTTCCGTGACTCTTCTCCAGGTTCCATGTGGTCTTCCCCTTGTTCTTTTACCCTGTGGGTTCCAATCTAACGCTTTTCTTGTTATGCAGCTGCTTGACTTCCTGTTACTGTAGGTACAATAAATGTATGCCCAAGATCTTCTGAATTTTTGTTTTGTTTCTCTTGTTTGTTTTTATTGGGGGGGGGGGGGGGGTCACGTAATTCATATTCATGTTTTTTTTTTTGGGGGGGGGGGGGGATTTTTTTAAAGCAGTTAGGTACCAAACTAACATTCTTGTGGATATAATGAACTGGCCAAGAAACTAAAAAAATAGGAGCTAAAGAGGGAACAATTTTAGGATGAAGGATATCTCGTCCCTGTATGCTCTCAGGGTGGGACGGTGAGCAAGAATCGCCAATGACAAATCTTTTGGAATAAACTAAAAGTGATTTTGCAACAAAGTTAACTGGACACTAAGGGAAGGAAGATTATGTTTTAAGAGTAATACAGATCTGTTAAATTCACCTTGCGAGATAAGAACATTTTTAAACCCTTTTTCCTCGTTGTGCAACACCCATCTCAGACTAGATTTCTCTCCCCACAGACTGTCATGTCTGTGACCACATAACTTAGCAGTGTGGGTAGTTGGCGGGTGCTCTGGTGTGGTTTGCTTCTTCTTTCCTATCAAATGTCTATCGTCTTTATCTCCCCTCGTTCTTTTTTGTGTTTGTTACTCTCTTGTAACACCTCTAATCTTCGGCATTTCTATGACCTTATTGTGTTGCAATTGCCGTAAAGCACTTACTATAACTAAACTAACTTACCAGTTTTTGTTCAGTGAAATGGAGACACCATAGCTTTACCTATTTCGGGGATTATAGCAAAATCATTTTTCTGTCTTCCTGTGGAGTTTCACTTTTCTATTTCAATGATAAGTGAGAAATTAATATCTTGATGTCAGTGGTACAAATTAATGTGACTTTCTCAATGTCTTAGGATGAATTATGTAACAGGGAAGGGTTGATAAAGTGTCTATAAATTAAATCTTTTATCCTTATATAAGGATTATGCAGCTGATAGTGATGAATAATTGTGGTCGAAATTGTGTAGGGCAGCCACCATTGTCAAGGAGAAATGTGGTTGTCTGAGACAGGTGGACGTCAAACACAGTGCCATTATAATGTTTTTAAAAACGCGCGGAGGAAAATAGAAAGTGGCCATTGATACAGGTTATTTTCTTATACAAATGGTCATTAGAGCAGGTGTTTGACTATCATCATAATCCAGTGCCAGATCTGCGACAGACATTGGCAATCATGGTTCTCCATTCATTCCTTTGCTCAGATACCCTTAAAAAGAGCTACGTTTCCCTTATCTTTCCCCGTTACCCATCTGTTTAGGTTCCCCAAGTAGGTTGCTCTGGGCCTACCCCTGCCTCATTTGCCTTCAATCTTGTCAGTGAGAGCTAGATGTTCAAGACCTTTATGTCTATTCAGGTGTCCCAAAAAGTGCCTTTGTCTTTTCCTGATTGTATTGTTTTATCAGTGAGGGTCCCACGTGGACCTCTTTAAATACTTCCTTATTTGATTTATTTTCCTTCCAAGATATTCTCAGCGGTCTCTTAAGAAACTTCGTTTCCTATGTTTGACTGTATTATGATAAATTTGTATCCTCAGGCTATATGCAAAGAGGGAGAACCATTGAAGCCTGCACAGACAGTGCCGAGAACCCTACCCTACTACACCATCTCGCTGTACCCGCCGGTCACGCTGCACAACTACCTCCCCTACGACATCAACTTTGCTCTTCAGGTGAGATTTGCCTGATGTGACTTTTTCAAGTGATTGTCATACTTCTTACATTTGATCGCATAAAGGTCATTTCTAAAGCCTCTTACAGGAAATTTACTTTGGAGATTCCGGGCAAAGAGCCTTCTTTGATTTATGTGCATGCACACACAAACACTCTCACAGACACACACACACAAACACACACACAGTCACACACCCACACACACTCACATACACATACACACACACACATACATATACACATATACACAAACACACACTCACACACACACACACACTCACACACACACACACACACACACACACACACACATACACACACACACACTGGTTAATTTTACTGACAGATTTCAGCACTGATCTTTCATCCACAAACACGATTGAAAATGTAAATAAAGTCATATATTTTTCCCTTCCTGACTGACAGAAGCTATGAACAGGGGTCTTCAGTTTGTTGAAATACATAAATATTTCTGAAGTTGTTCGCCCATCAGTGTGTTTGCGTGTGTGTCTGTTCCCAGGGCTCTTCCAAAACCAGCAGCCTGACACATGGGGAGACGTCACCTCTTTACACCGTAGACATGCACGGCTCACACAAGATTACCATCACGGTAAGGAGTTCGGGGGTGTCACTGAACTTATCTGACCCTTGTATGGTGGTTGGTTGTTGGGGGGTAACTGTAGTTGTCTGACCTTATTATGCGGGTGGTTGTGGGGAGGTCACTGTAGTTATCTGACCTTATTATGCGGGTGGTTGTGGGGGGTCACTGTAGTTGTCTGACCTTATTATGCGGGTGGTTGTGGGGAGGTCACTGTAGTTGTCTGACCTTATTATGCGGGTGGTTGTGGGGGGGTCACTGAACTTATCTGACCCTTGTGTCATGATGGACCGTCGGTGGTTGGCGGGTGCTCTGGTATGGTTTGCTCCTTCTTTCCTGTCAAACATCAATCTTCCTTCTCTCTCCTCCTCCTTTTTTGTGTTTTATTACTCTCTTGTAACACGTCTAATCTTCGGCACTTATATGACTTTATTGTGTTGCAAGTGCCATAAAACTCTTATGAAAACTAAAATAGCTTAAACCTAATTGGCCAACTATGTTATAAAGCATCTAGGTCGTAACGTGACCCACTTGTAAATAAATAAACAACTTCCATTACTACTTATTCTCACGGAGGCCTTGTGTTTGTTTGTGAGCACGTTTCATAATTATTCGTCAAGCTATAAACATAGCCAGAACGTAACACCTTGTATGTGGGTGGTTGTTGGGGAGTCACTGTACTTACCTGACCCTTGTATGCGGGTGGTTGGTCGGTGCTCTGCTGTGGTTTGCTTCTTTTTTCTTTCTTATCAAACATTTGTCTGTCGTCCTTATCTCTCTTCCTCCTTTTTTGTGTTTGCTGCTCTGTTGTAACACCTCTAATCTTTGGCACTTAAATGACCAATTGTGTTGCAAGTGCTGTAAAACTCTTACTAAAACACAAAAAAGACGCTGTGTATTTCATACATAAAACTACTGTTGAACCAGCTGTTATGGCCAAGTTTTGTTTTCTTGTAATATACAACAATGATGATGTTGAAGGTGATGACTAAATGATAATTGGTCTGTTTCTTGTATTTGTTGGATATGCTGTTCTTATACTAATCAGCTTCCTAGCCTTTGTATAAGCTAAAGACATAATACTGCTATAAAACTTTTTTCAAAACTGGGATGGGTGGTTGGAGAGTGCCACAGGTAGATTCTACTTCTTGTCTATTCCTCTGTTTTTGGGTGGGTTTTGGACGTCTTTTTGTCTTGCTTTAAAAGCATTTTTAAACATAAATCTCCTAATGTGTTTCTTTAGATTGAAATAGCATATACGTTCAAATAGAGCCATTAAACTGTCTTCAAAACTCAGACAGGAGGTCATAAATCTGCTCTGTATTTTTTTTTCTCCCAGCTGCCAGATTACCTGGGCTCTGATTGGTCGGGCACTCTGGACGTGTCCTCAGACATGGAAGAGTTCCGGGCCATCTCCATGGAAACGGAGCTAGACACGGAGAATGTCAACCGCCATCTTAGCCTGAGCATCCACGCTGACCTCTCCAACTCTCTGGACCTGCGGATTTATGCCCCTTACTGGGTGGTCAACAAGACTGATCTCCCCTTGCAGTTGAGAGTAAGTCTTCTCTTGTCTGTCTGTGAATGAATGAGTAAATTTTTAAAACCTTTTTTGGGGGGGAGGGGGGGTATAACAAACTGCAATGTTGTATATTACTCAGACAGACTAAAATTGGTATTTGAAATAAGAGTTTGGTTTAGCAGATTTTTTTTTGAGTGGTTGGTTGGAAGGCACTTTTGGAAGGTGCTTTTTATTTTTCTTCCCTCAGTTGTTTCTGTTTCTCAGTCTTACAAGCAGAGTTTGAATTGCCCTCTTCCTTCATCTTCAAGTGCCAGGTCTGAGTCAGACATTTGCAACTCATACCTCAACTCAGATGCTCTCAAAACACCATATCATCATCATTGTCTTGTTCTGTCACCCATATATTAAGTTCTCAAAAAAAAAGTTATTTTTGGTTTACCTCTGCCGTTTTTGCTGTCTATTTTTCCTATGAGAGAAAGGTGCTCAAAACCTGTATCTTGATTTAAGTGTCAAGGAACTACAAGTGTCTTTTCCCAGATGTCTTTATTAGTGACTGCGCCATTCTTGCTTCTTTCAGCCCTTGGTACATATGGCGCTCATATGACCTTATGCATTTGCCTAAAAACCTCTACTAAACCAACTTGGTACCTACTAACTACATTATATTGTTGTTATTAATGACCGACCCACACTGGCTTTTTTCAGCACCTGGTAACTTTTTTTATTTCTTTTTTTTTCCTCCTGAAGGATGTAAATTATGTCAAGTCTGGCGTAAAACTTTCTCAATCTATTCTGTCCTGACAGGGATCTATGTCCGAGGCTGTGTATGAGTTTGGCAACTCTCCCAACCCACTGCTGTACCGCTTCAAGAAACACAAAAAGAAAAAGGTGAGTCTCTCTGTGTTTATGTGTGTGTGTGGGGGGGGGGGGGTGGGTTGTGATGTGTATGTGTGGGTGTATGTGAGTCTGTGTGTGTGTATGTGAGTGTGTTTGTGTGTGTGTGTGTATGTGTGTCTGTCTGTATGAGTGTATATGAGTCTCTGTGTGTGTGTGTGTGTGTGTGTGTGTATGTGTGTGTGTGTGTGTGTGTGTGTGTGTGTCAGGGAGAGGGTAAGTCCCCTATCTTTACCTTCCTTTGAATGTTTCTGTCTTTTTATCTTTCTTTTTGATCACGCTAAATGACCATTATTTGTGTGTGTGTGTGTGTGTCAGAGAGAGAGAGAGAGAGAGAGAGAGAGAGAGAGAGAGAGTCTGGGTGTGTGTGTCAGGGAGCAGATAATACCTGCATATTTACTCTCCCCCTATTGTTTCTGTCTATCTATCTTTCTTTTTCGTTGCACTAAATGACCATTTATATTGTCAATGCACTTCTGTGTACCAATACTAACGTTATCTCCTTCTGTCATTCCATCAATCCCCAGGCAAAACTTCGTGTGTACGAGTCGCGATGGTCGCAGTCCTTCTCCACAGACACAGTGGGCAGTGGAGGAGTGGTGGTGTGCAACGACAAAGAGAGGGGCAAGAAATATATGGTGAGCACACACTCACATACACACATATACATAACATACATGTATAAACATGCACATATCCACAAAAATACATTCTTTTATTCACTCTCACATACAAATACACATACACATATACATTCATTTACATGTAGGCAGTGGTTGGGTGGTGGTATGCAACAACAAAGAGAGGCGCCAGATATAATATAATATGCGCGCACAAACACTTATAAGCACATACACATACATAACAAACATGTATAAACATACACACATTCGCAAATATACCTTCTTTTATACACTCACACTTACATATATATACATGCATACATTTACACAAAGACAGTAGAGAGTGGTTGGGTTGTGATATGCAATGACAAAGAGAGGTGCCAGAAGTGATATGGTGTGTACACACAATCGCTCTTAAGCACATATACATGTATGTATACCCACATACTTAAATATATGCTGGACATGTGAGGGTGTGATAATGTACAAAGACTAGGAAAGGAGCAAGAAGATATGTGAGGCAGCGTGGTGGAATCAGGCTCTCGTCAAAATAATAAAAGTGGAGAAACTTGCTTTTTTCCGCATGTTCGTGAATTTTTATCAAATTTTTGTTTTTTGGCTCAACACCTTTCATGCCCATTAAAGAACTCATATCTGTGTTGATTTTTCTGAAAAGCATTGATTAAAGGCACAAAAATGTAAATTTTCAGTTATCACGGACACTTAAGCTAAGGAAATAACTAATCTTTGGCGGCCATTTTCTCACTAATTTTACCTCTAAAAACAGGTGACCCCCACCTCCTTCTTTCGCAAATATCTCGACTTGTATTCAAGATAAATGGGTATTTTTTTCGTCCAAATAAAGACAAGTGAATAAGCTTTAAGATGATACCAATAACTCTACATGCCCAAAGATTGACGAGAGCCTGATTCCACCACGCTGCCTCACATATGGTATGTACACAACGCAAATACTAATAAATACACAAACATGTTGATGTGTTTCTCTTTACTCAAACAAAGCAACAAAATCTCTTCCCTTCCGTCCTGTGACAGTTCCTGGTACAAATCGCGATGTCACGGCTGCGTCTGACCAAGATTGTGACCATCATGCCCTTCTTCCTGGTGATCAACAACTCAGCCAAGAAACTCCGCTACATGGAGGAGAACGAGAACGCTGACCTCTGGGTGGACATTGACCCTGAGCAGGTGAGGGAGAGGTGGTGAGACAGAGAGGGGGTGGGGAGAGGGAGGGAGGGAGGGAGGGAGGGAAAGACAGAGAGGGGGGAGGGAGGGAGAGAGAGAGGAGGGGGAGAGTGAGAGAGAGAGAGAAGGAGAGAGGGGGGAGGGAGGTGAGAAAAGAGAGAGGAGGGAGAGAGGGGGGAGGGGGAAGAGAGAGAGAGAGAGAGAGAGAGAGAAGGATGGAGAGACGGAGAGAGGGGGGTCTCCTATCTCACAAAGTACACGCTGAGAGATGATATGTCATCGTAGCCATATATTACAACATAAAGTAAAATAATAATAAGGTACTACAGTGGAGTCCACTTATAACGAGTCCTGAAACATCTAGAAGTCTGTTATAAAGACATCATTCTAAAACCCCGTTTTTTTCCCTTCTTTAACTTTGTAAATAAAATACTGCTATAGCGCAATTACTTAAACGCGCGAGTCGGTTATAGCGGAATATTGCTGCTCCTGTGCACAGCACATAGGCCATTGAAACATGAAAACCTCGCCAGTTGAGAAACTTGTTGGTGATCTAGCGAAACAAAGAATGGGAGAGCCCATGTGTGCCAACGATGAAGGCCCGAGCGAATGAGTGGGGAGTGTGTGGCACGCGCAGACACACCGTTGTGAAGCATTGCCTGATAACTAGTCTTTCTCAGTCCTGATAATGATAGGCCAGCCTAGTCTAGATTATCTAGGCCTAGATATCTATCATGCCTCTCACTTCTCTGATGCGGGGATGGAGAGGTCACAGTGCTGTGATTGATCATGGAGCGAATGTGTGATGTGTGCAAGCAGACGCGGGAACGCAAAACAGGGTGTGGTGGGGTGGGGGGAAAACACAGCGAGCGATTTAGCCTAGAGAACTTTCGTTCTGATAGCCAACGCCGAGCTGTCAACATCACTAGAGCTAGAGAAGGAAACCTGAATCAATTTTTGATCAAGAAAGACCTAGAGGTCATGTAGAACAATGTCATCATCGGAGGAGATGACAAAAAGAAATAGAACGCCAAACTCATAGATTAGGCCTACTTTATTATTTCCTTTGAATTTATTACTGGATCCCTTACAACGAGAATCCTGCTATAACGGACATTTCGTACCGGTCCCCTCCCTCTCGTTATAACAGGATTCCACTGTATACAGTTTGACAACAGTAATTATGACAATAACATTAACAACAACAATGGTAACAACAATATTAAGCATTGTTATAACAACAATAATAATAACTATTGCAATGATAGAAGCGACAATGATGACAACAATACAACAACAACTACTACAACAACAACAACAACTAATACAACAGCCAGAATTGCAATAATGGCAACAACAACCACATTGACAGCACCAGCGATGATAACAACAGTAGCAACAATAGCAATAGCAACAACACCAACAACAACACCAACAACAACAACAACACCAACAACATTTTCCCCTCCCCTCCCTCCACAGTTCCAGCCCTTCTGGCCAGTGACGGAGTCTTTCAACCTGTACGTGAAACACGACGGAAGCAACGTGTCCTCCCTCCACTTCCCCATCAAGTCCTGCCACACCACGGTCCTGAGGATGGACCAAGGGGTCAGTCTTGTATGCGTTGTGTTGTGTTGTTTTGTGTCGTTCATGTGTTGTGTTGATCATGTGTTGTGTTGTGTTGGTTGTGTGTTGTGTTCTGTTGACCGTGTGCTTGCAATGTGTCCTCTCTGCACTTCCCCATCAAGTCGTGCCACACCACTGTGCTCAGAATGGACCAAGGGGTAGGTTGAGTGTCTTTTAATAATAATAATAATAGTAATGATAATTTGCATTTATATAGCCGTCTATCCCATACAAGTATAAGCTCTGAGCGCTTTACATCGATCACATGATCACTGAGCCTAATACTTCATTCACACAAGAAACAACATTTCACATTAACAAAAAAAACAGTTCAACCGCATAAAGAAGGACTTCTCTCAATCAAACATTAATTATATGTATAAACATAAGGGCAGCAGTAAAAACAAACACATCGGCACTTACGAACACACAACAACTAAGAATTAAACAAATGAGTCTTGAGCAATTGCATAAACGTATTAAGATTTGTTATTACTCTTAAATCCTGGTGCAAGGAGTTCCAGATTTTCGAGTCAAAAAAAGAGAAACATCACTCACCAAAAGATCATCTTAATTTCATTCTAGGGGCTCTGAATTTTTATGCTTGTACTTTTATGCTTTAATTTCATCCATACTTTATGACAAGTTACAGCAAGTTAATTTGTTTCTCGAAGCAATTTTTTTTAAAACCTTAAAGCTCAATCCAGTGATTGTTATCAGTATGTTAGTGTTTTTGCTCCAATAAATGTCTGCTTGCATTGTATGCTTCCCAGGAAGTTGAGGTTGTTTCGCAATGCTCTCAGGTCTGCTGGGGTAATAGTATAGATTGTGAAGTGCATAGAGCTTGTTGTTGAGCTGGCCCTTTGCGCTACACAAATGCTATCTATTATTAATGTAGGTCACTCTGTTGTTCGTGTGCATTTCTTGACTCACAACTACCGAACACTTCCTGTTTTCTCCAGCGGGCCATCACGGTGGAGGTTGCTGGGGGAACGGACACGCCTATCACCATCGTGTTCTCCGACTACGAGCCCGGAGACGCGCCGGCCCGCGTGGAGAATCTGTGTGAAGACGTTTTCATCAAGATACATCAGAAGTAAGGACGGATTTCTTTTGTGTCCCTCAGACTGGTTCTTTTTTGGTTTTGTTTTTTTGTTTTTTTTGGGGGGGTTGTTTTTTGTATAGTTTTGTTTTGCTTTTTTTTTTTAGGGGGATTGTTTTTTTGTAGTTTTTTTGTTGCTGTTGTTTGGGGGGGGGGAGGGTTGGGGAGTTGTTCTAGTTTTTGTTTTTGTTTTTACTTTTTTTTGGGGGGGGGGGGGAATGATGGAATGAAGGTGGTGGAATTGTTGGAGAGTAACACCGAGAGAGAGAGGAGATGGAGATGGAGAGACGGAGGTGAAGGGGATGGTGTATTCTGTATAGATAATATTGTGCTCTCTAAGAGCGTTTTCTATTCTTCTCCAAGGTAAAAGGTTTCAAACTTTAAACCTTGCCATGAATCAGAGTGGATGATTGGAGGGGTCACTAGTGAGACCCACTTCTTTGCTTTTTATCTTTTGTATCTGTCTGTCTGGCTCTTACCCAGCACTAAGTGATCATTATTATATCAATGTGTTTCTCTTTACTCAAACAAATGAATTGACCTTAATTGAGTTGGTGTGCTTCTCTAGACTCAAACAAACTATATGACCATTATTGTGAAGATTTGTTTCTCTTTTGTCAAACAAGCTAAAAGAACATTATTTTGTCGATGTGCTTATCTGTACTTAATTCGAACCATTATTATGTAAAAATGATCCTCTTTATTCAGAAAGACTGAATGACCATCATTTTGTCTATGTGCTTTTCTTTACTCAAACAAAAAAAAAACAGGAACCAGAGTCAGGTGACCTTGCTGTCGCCCAATCAGAGCATCTTGTACACGTGGGACGAACCATCGGCCGAGCGGACGCTCATGTGGAACGTTTATGGTCGAAAGAAACCCAGCTACCCCGCTTTCATTTCAAAGGTCTGGAGATTTTTTTTCTTGTTTTTGTTTTGTCTTTTGGGGTTGTTTTTTTTTGGTTTTGTTTTTTTTGTTGAGATTCAAAACTCATTCTGACGGACATCTGTGGTGTAGCATAAGGCTCTTCACCATCATCATCATCACACACAGAAGACTTCAGCTTGATTCCCAAGCGGGGTTAAGTCGATAGTGCCGTAAAACACCTACTCAATCAATCGATCAATCAAGTCCTAAGTGGGGAAGATTTTTATTGAATATCTACATAAGTGTCTGCTTTGATACTGTATCCCACTCAGTCTGGGTTAGGCCAGACATGATTGAAGTAGGCTTCCTCCTAATGGATTTAAATTGTGTCTTTTGGGATTTAAACATTTACAATAAAAGAATAATGATGCCCTCTCTGCATGGGTGCATTGTAGAACCATCTACCTTTATATGCTTCCTTGGAAGCTGAGATTGTTTCTGAGCTGTATTTTAGGGTCAGTTGGGGTAATAGTTGTACAACGCTTTGAACGTGCTGTAGAGCGAGAACTTACCCATTATTATTATTATTATGATACTGATTTTTTTATTTTTATCCTTGACTATAATAATAATAATAATAATAATGAAGATCATTTCTATAACTCCCACTCCCGTGTAAACACAGCTCTAGGCGCTTTACGTCGGACTCACAACTTGACAGTGTTCACTTCCATTATTCAGAAAAATGTTGGTATAGCTATTAACATTAAAAACGGGTGGGGTTGGGTGGTGAAAACGGCTTTCCACACAATACTGTAAATGTTGAAAATTGCCTAAGCCATGGATAGAACTTCCATAATGAAATATATTTCATGAAAATAGTTGGTAATTTGCAATCAAGCACTTATAAAAATAACACAAAAAGCACAAAGGTTTCTTATTTATCCTGTATGCAAACTTTAAAAGCCACAATCCATCCACAAGATACGAAAAAAAGACACAAAAATTACAGAGCAGGAAAAACGCCGCCTGTCAGGTGCGGACCTCCTACACATAATAATGATATTGCCCATGATGTTGGCATTGGATCTGATATGTCCTGTCCTCAGTTTGATCATACAACAACTTCAACCAAGCTTACTACCTTGTGGCTGTAGTAGTTTATTCAGAATGATAGTGACTTTAAAGATCTAAAGCTCTTTGTCAAGCAGAGAAAAATGTGGAGCTGTACTTTATTTTCTCCATTGCCCTTGCTTTGTATTTTGTATTCTCAGTGTTGCTCACTTCTTCTTGTATCTCATTTTCCCCCTTGCCAGGATGGGTCTGGAGAGGTACGTCTGCGAGTGCCGTCTCTGAGAACCGGTGGGAATGCGGGCATGGACATCACTGATGGGGCAGACTCGGGCGACAGTAGTCCTGAAGGTGACACATTTGTGTGCCCTATTTTGTGACCTAATGACATGTCTAATGACCTTTTTTCATTTTTCTAATGGCCAAATGTTGTTTTTAATTGCCTAATTTAAATGAAACTGAACCTAATTTCCTATGTTTATCAAGTGACTATTCATTTGTTCATGTACATGAATGTATTCACCATGTTGATACAACAAATTTCTGTTTGTTGAAATGTTATCTTCATTTGACTTTTGTTTCTAATGACCCAAGTTTCATTTCTATAATTGCAATCCTTGTTGGGTTTTTTTGGGGGGGTTGTCCCTTTCATTCTTTGTACATGTTCCCTATCCTACCTTGTGACCCACTTCAGTTTCTTGTAATGTGCAATTCTATTTCTTTCCAGAGTGAAAATCAAAATGGAAATTTTACAAGTTTAATTCCCCTTGCAATACTGTTATGTTATTTCAAAGAAATGCCCACCGAATTTAATGTTCATCTCTGATTGGACCAAGCCAAATGGGAAAATTTGTGATAAGTGCCTTTCCCAAGGACACAATGTCAGATCGAGCTAATTCTTGAACTGCCGACCCCACAGTCTCATGGTTTTATTACCTGTATTACCTGTCCTGGGCATCATTGCACACCGGACAGGTCCATAACTTCTCAGTTTCTGTCAGCACCAAAGCCTGCAAGGTATCCATACTGATTGTTCCAGTGGCTGTTTGATTATGGTGACATCTTTCCTTTCCAGATAATCGTTCCTTTCTTCCTTTTTCCCTCTCTATCCCCATTTCCCGCATCCTGATGATTACATATCTGATAGTCTTACCATTAGACAATTGAACGGATGCTGCTGGGAGTTGAGGGAAAAGTCCAAGAAGTTTAAAATGTTGTATTAGAATAAAGTTTTCTGTTTTTACTTGAGGGAAGGGAAAGTACTAAGAGTATAGAATGTTGCATTTGGATAAAGTTGTTGGGGTTGTTTTTTTACTTGAGTGAAAATAAAGTACAAGACTATAAAATGTATGAAGCCTAAAATGTAACTTTTTTTTATGTCTCTGGCTCTGGCAGATGAAAGCGACGAGGCAGACGGGCTGATCGGACCGATGGACCGGTCACTCGTGGGCAAGACCCGGCTGGACAAGATGATCGTGTTCTGGGTGTCCTACCTGGACGGTCTACAACGCGTGTTGCTCTTTACACAGGACGAGCGCGTCGCGAGAGCGGTCAGGAAGGTGAGGACGTGCACTGGAACCGAGAAAAAGTTTCCGCAGCTTTTTCGTTTTGTTTTGTTTTGTTTTGTTTTGTTATCTTATTCATGTCTCTAAGTTTTGAGTTCTTTTCTCGATTGCCTAGCCCAGTGCTTCTTAACATTTCTCCACGTCCTTCCCTTATGAGTTTGTTTTTTTTGTCAAAACTAAATTTAATTTCATACGATTTTATTTTTGGTAAGTTGCCTCCTATAGTTCTGCTCTCTCTCTCATGCTGTAATGTCGCTGACCCGCGAACAAAAATAGATCGGTAAGTTAAGAAGCACTGGTCTAGTCTCCTCCACACAGTGTGTCCTTGGTTGGTATGTGTGTGTGTGTGTGTGGGTCTGTGTTGCCGTTGTGTCGTCATGGCGACGTACCTTCTGTCTGTCTGTCTGGACACTGTGACCACCTGTAGGGGAATGATCTGTCCTGTACAGCAAGTGTAGATGAATGGTTGTCTTTCTGCTGTGCCACTTAGAACGTTTTAGCGCAACACTTAACGTGTAGGAGATACTGACTCTGTCTTTGTGTAGACTGTGAGAATGCAAATTGTTTTTTTGGGTTGTTTCATTTCTCAGTTTCCTGGCTGTGACTGAAATTTTGTGTTGAATTAACCTGGATTATTACACTCTGACTGCTCCGAACAAGGTGATAATGACAAACTGTATTAAGCTCACAACCAGAAATTCGTTGCTTTAAAACACAAATCATCGGCCTGTAATTATTTTATACCTCAGCTTCATAGAGATTTGTTAGGCCCATCTTTGATTTTCGTCATCAAGTTTATATCTTTATATCGCCTCTCGGATATTCAAGAAGGAAAATATTGAGAGATGGGTCGAGGAAAAACAGGAGAAAAGTAAAGGAAATGTGACTGATAGTTGTCGGGAGGGTGTTTGCAAACATGGGTAAAAGTTTACTGGCGATGGCTGTCCTTGACTGCTCTAGCGTCGATCTCATGACGCACAGGTTTCTTTCGTTAACTTAACAATTGTCTCAGAAAAGTCCGACTCTGACTTTTTAACTCCGCTGCCCGAGTATGAGCATAAATTGGGACAGTACGGGGGGTGATTCGATTATCTTTTCAGGCAGAGCCCCTTGAGATGCTATGAGTTAGTAAGTTTTCAGGCAAAATAGTTGTGATATTTTTTACCCATGGTTTCAAATCTCACCTTGTTCGGAGTTGTCTGTGTTCTCAGTGAGTCGTCTCTGTGCTGTATTTCTCCTGCCTTGTATCTGTCGACTGTCACTCTTTGTGTATGGGTATACCTCATTACGTATGCATTATATGCTCTCAGGTCTGCAGGGGTAATAGTATAGATAATAGATTGTGAAGCGCCTAGAGCTTGCTGTTTAGCGGAGAGATTTGCGCTCTACAAATGCTATCTATTATTATACGTATACCTGGGTATACCACTTTGCATATGTGTATGTGGATATACCACTTAATAACATATTATGTTTGTGTGTGGGTATGCCATCTTACAATATGTATATATTGACTGCTTTGAATAAGATTCCACCGTAAGCCGTGCTTCAAGAGTGACATATGATAGAGTTTTACAATGAGCAGTCAATATGAGTGGGCGTGCCGTGCCACCTTTCCTATATGTGTGTGATGTATGTGGGTGTACCACTTAACATATATGCGTAGGTGGGTATACCATAACTATACATATATAATATGGGTATATGGAGGGGGGTGGGGGGGGGGGGTATACCACCTAACATAAGGGAACGGGTTTGCCACATTTCATGTTTCGTTGCTGTTGCAAGAGAAATGAGCCACCTGAACAGAGAGATCAAACAGAGGGTTTTGTTTTGTTTGTTTTTTTCTTTGGTGACCGCAAAGAAATGTGTGTGTGAGAATACTTTCTATATTTACACTCTTCGTTACCGGGAATCAGAACGTTTTTGGGGGGTTTTTTGTTATTGGTTGGGGTTTTTTTTGGGGGGGGAGTTGTTTTTTGGGTTGTTTTTTTGGGGGGGAGGGGGGTGGGTAATATTAAAAATATAAGTGTTTGGTTTATGTTGAACTCTCCGATAGGCCAGTGACTTTCATCTCAATTCTTTTCCAACACATTCAAGATCTCCAGACTAATTGATGATGAAATGGAA